AGACGCGGTGCCCGCGAAAGACGCCAATGACGATGACGGCGGGGGTGGTGGTGGAGGTGGAGGTGGCGGTGGCGGGGGTGGGAACGACGCCTGTGCCGCGCACGACGACAAAGGCCCAGGAAGGTAACCGGCGTAACCAGCCGTGCTCCCGTATCCCCATGAATTACTTGCAGCCAGACCAAACTGGGACATGTCTGAAGAGATTGTGCTCGTTTGTGCATCAACATCGCAATCCTTCCATTCTTTCGTTTTATGCGCGACCGCTTCAATTGTTACAATTACAACCGAGCCCGTAACACGAGTATCATATTACTATGGAGCTTAAGGTTTTTTCGTCGCGTTCGATTTTCCAAAACAGCGTACGTCAAAGCAGAAGCAAGCTCGAGTAACTGAAGAACGTCCTCCGCTCGGAGAACGTAAACCCAAAATCTGTTTCCGTAAACAGAGCGAAGCGCAAGGACGATTACATGCCACAGCCAAACGTAAAAATGCAACAGAAGGAAAAGCGAGAGAAGAACGAGAGGGAAATAACGTCGCGTTATTACTCGATCCGAATCACTTTTACCGATGTACATACGCTATAATCGAGCTTCTTTTACGCCCTTCGAGAGGTGGATTTATTTTTGCGGCGCATAGGCCGCATCCCCCGATAGATTTTCCAATGAGTTACGGGGTTGAAGGTAGAAAGGTCGAGAGCACGGTTTGCGAAGAGGGGTGCAGCCGGACAGAAAACGGAGGGAGGGCACGAGATCAAAGGGTTGGTCATCCCCGCGTAGCTCTGGCCAACTCAAATAACCGTGGCATCCCTCGAGCAGCGCCACTGGGCCGTCGTCGGCGACAGCCTAACCCTAAATAGTGCAAGCTAGCATGCTTTCAGCTCGTTCGTCCACTTTTCATCCTCCTGATATCGCGACGTAAGGAGAACCTTTGATTAACGCGACGCTAATTCGACACCGAACGATTTGCCGACCAAACAATTATCGCGTAAAAACCCTCGCGCCGGTCATATTTTATCGGCGACGAACAACGAAACGCGTTAATCAACTAACGATATTCCGATAGATACCGCGAAATTCGTGGCAAAGATGCTCCGGAGACCACGTTCATCGGCAAAATCAAGACACGCGAAGGCGAATTATCGATGTCCGATGCGGTGAAAAAAAGTTAATAAAGGAAATACCAGGCATGCTTGATACTTTATCGGGGAATTTTCCGCGTCATCGCGTTCGGAACCGTCGGTGACTCATTAAATCTATTCCCTCTCGAATATTTTCCTCGGTGGATTTCTAGAGCGGGAAGATAATCAATGGCTAACGCGGTGATTTCTCGCGAGAAAAAGCGGCGTTTCCATAAAAGACAGGACGTTGATTCGTGCCGAAAACGAACGAGGAAACTGTAAGCGCGATGTTTCGGCTACGAATTCGCGAATCCGGTTGCAAACGTACAGCGAAAGCGGGGGTTAGGCAAGCATAAAACGACGTACCAACCCCCCTTCAACGAGCTCGCCGCTCTCGTGGCAACCCCTTTAATATAATATTTAATCTAGCTTTGAACAGGCTTGCGGTTTCCGCCTCTGGAGTCGAGAAGCTAGCTACCAAGCCTAAAGCCCTCCGCCTATATCCAACGGAGGCCAACAGTGTCTGCTTGGAAATATTCCCAGCTTCCGCGCTAGAGAAAACGCTTCTTACGATATCAGAAATGAAATTTCTAGAGCGGACATCGACCTCCTCGTGTCGCGTGAATTAATTCGATCGTACAAAAATATGTCGAGCACGATGCATTGCCAAAGCCCAAGAAACATAGCGTTCATCATGCAGAATAAGGGGATTTGGTACTTACTTTGACAGTTTCCAGGCATCGTGTGCCTGAACGAGGACAACGGGTTTCGTGGCTGCAACGGATTCGATAACGGTTGAAGATTCGGCAAGGGTTGCAGAGGATCCACTAAAGGGGATGCGAAAAATGGTCCACCCCTCTGGGAAGCGAACGCGAACGCGTGGAATTGCTGTTGCTGCCCTAAAAGAGACAACACTGCGATCAACCGTGCGCCTGTCCACTGGACTTCCGGTACCCGCATCAAACAATTTTTTGCCAATTTTATCGAGCGAATTAACAATCGTTCGATCGTTTCGCGACGTTCCCCGCGATCAAGATTCAATCGTGGCCAGAATCCCACCGCTAATTTTATAACCGTCGTCCGATCGGCACCGAGTACCCAGCGGATCGCGGCCGAACCTCTCAAAAAGTCCACTAATTCTCGCAGTTTCGAAGGATCGACTTTTATTTCCCCAGGCAACCGGTTCCCTGTCGGACGCACCGAGTGTCCAGCTCCTCCTACGGTCGCATGCTGGCTAACATTCACGAACGGTTGAAACTAAACGACGAACAGAGTGTAGAAACGGATAGAGAAAGAGAGGACGAGGGAAGAAGAGACACGTCGAGGCACCGATTCATTTTATTTCCCGGGTACGGTGTCGCCAACCCAATTAAAGACGTCCCAACAGGCGACCGTCCTATCTGACGAGGCTACCGTCCACCCCAGCAGTTGGTTAGGTTAGGTTAGGCCAGTCTGCCCCATACGTGGAGGTGGCTCGAGCTTCCCTACAACCCCCGTGAACCGTCGAAATCTACGAACCAACGCATACACCGACACGGAAGGCACACCGGAGACCGAAACCAGGAGGGACCGACGAGGAGGACGACGGAGAGAGGAGAGGAACTACTGCTGACCCCCCACCGTACCGATAATCCAATCGAAGCCCTAATTCGAACTCGGCAACCCGAAATTCCCGCCGGTTTGCTGAATAGGGTACGCTTGCTCGATCCTGGGCACACAATGGGGACGCGACGATGGAATACGGACCGGCAACCGAACTAACGAGATCAACCCGGTAAACGACCGGCGATTCCTACGTTTCCTACACGACCCTTCAAGAAATTTCTCCTCTCGACCGCTGCTCTCGAACCGAGTCATCAAGAATCCTAGCGATACGTAAAGTCCTACGAGCAAATATTCCATTCGAAAATCAACGGAAGAACTTTTCGAGCTCAGAAAGGAGTCGGACCTTCTCCAGACTCGTTACTATCGATTTCATTGGACACCCCTTTACGCGTGCAGGGTGACTGCCAGGGAATTTCTCGAGAGTTACCAGCTGGCAACGACAGCTCCTCATTTCGTTCAGTCGCCCCCAATCTACCCCGTCGACACACCGTAGACGCTATGTGGCCGGCCATTTTCGAGCTTTTCTAACAAAAGCGGATCGTTCGGCGGCCCCCCGATGGAAGCCCGGATTTCGGGGGTTTTCAACTTCCGCCAGAGGCGTCCGTGAGCTACATCTCTCTCGATCAATTTCCTTAGCCCTGCATCCTCTTTCTGCGGCGGCCACCTTTGGCTACGGGACGAGGGTAGAATGTGTAATGAATTGCTTGTTTAATTAATTACGACCCTCGAACGACGCCCGTTCCGTCGTTCTCGAGTTTGGATGAGCCACCGCCGTTCGATTCGACAACGCGTTCCTTCCGAGGCCCGTGTCTCCCTACCGAATACAATTCATACGATTGATTTATTGCTTGTTGTTTGGGAAAGAAAGGGTCGTAATTCACAGGCTCCTCTCGTGTCGGAAAAAACGAGATACCGGAATAAGGGATAGATTGCTAGTTCGTGTTACGAACAAATCAAACTCGAGCTTAGTGGACAAATTTCTCGTGTAATTTTCACGTCACGAATGTAATTTTCAAACTCGAAGATACTTTGTTTCTAATGGACCAGTTTCTTCGAATGATCGCAGTGGAATTAGTTGTCGAGACTCGGAGGATGTGAGCGTAATAAAATTAGGGAGCGTGTCAAAGACGAGGAAGCGGCCGGTTTAAAGAAACGCCGATCGACCACCCGCAACTCGTAGCCCTTTCATCTTCCGCCGCTTCCCTTCGAGTCCCTTTGGCGGGGAAAACATTTGTTTTCGTAGAAGATGTAACGCGCCGCGCATTTTAAAATATCTTCCCCGTCTTTGAAATATCTTTCGCCCCGCGTTTTATCATTCCGTAATCGATCATCGCTCGTACAAATCAAACTCGTTTCTATCTTCCGTCATATTGTACGGCGATAAACCGTACGTGCACTTTCGTCGAACGTAAAGCGCACTTTGAAGTTCACGTATTCGGGTTATTTTACGATGAAAATTTCGTGGGTGGTCCGAACAGATGAGCGGATGTGGTTGCAATCTGCCAAGATCTATCTCTGCCGCGCGGACTGGCACAATGTATTAAACGAGATATTTTTGACGGATAAAGAGCACGACGAAATGATCGATAAATAATTTTTTAGACAAACTCGGAGGTAATCTGAAATTGTTCCTATGCAAACTGAGACGATAATTAGTCTGGAGCAAATGAAACTCTCTCCACAATGTTCGAAGAAATAAAAAGACGAGTCCAAAGATTTTCAACGAAATTATGAGACCCTAATCGATTAAATAAATAAGTTTGAAAGCAGAATGCTTCGCGTAAATTTCGCAGCGTACAGACAGTAAATTTCGATCCTCCCCGGGAACACAATGGCAACGCGAAGAGGGAGGTTTTCGAGGGTATAGTTGCTGATTCGTGGAAAGCTCGCGTCGTCTAGGAAGCTTGCGACCCACGGAATAACCGGTGCACTCGGTAAAATTACGACCCTCGAACGACGCCCGTTCCGTCGTTCTCGAGTTTGGATGAGCCACCGCCGTTCGATTCGACAACGCGTTCCTTCCGAGGCCCGTGTCTCCCTACCGAATACAATTCATACGATTGATTTATTGCTTGTTGTTTGGGAAAGAAAGGGTCGTAATTCACAGGCTCCTCTCGTGTCGGAAAAAACGAGATACCGGAATAAGGGATAGATTGCTAGTTCGTGTTACGAACAAATCAAACTCGAGCTTAGTGGACAAATTTCTCGTGTAATTTTCACGTCACGAATGTAATTTTCAAACTCGAAGATACTTTGTTTCTAATGGACCAGTTTCTTCGAATGATCGCAGTGGAATTAGTTGTCGAGACTCGGAGGATGTGAGCGTAATAAAATTAGGGAGCGTGTCAAAGACGAGGAAGCGGCCGGTTTAAAGAAACGCCGATCGACCACCCGCAACTCGTAGCCCTTTCATCTTCCGCCGCTTCCCTTCGAGTCCCTTTGGCGGGGAAAACATTTGTTTTCGTAGAAGATGTAACGCGCCGCGCATTTTAAAATATCTTCCCCGTCTTTGAAATATCTTTCGCCCCGCGTTTTATCATTCCGTAATCGATCATCGCTCGTACAAATCAAACTCGTTTCTATCTTCCGTCATATTGTACGGCGATAAACCGTACGTGCACTTTCGTCGAACGTAAAGCGCACTTTGAAGTTCACGTATTCGGGTTATTTTACGATGAAAATTTCGTGGGTGGTCCGAACAGATGAGCGGATGTGGTTGCAATCTGCCAAGATCTATCTCTGCCGCGCGGACTGGCACAATGTATTAAACGAGATATTTTTGACGGATAAAGAGCACGACGAAATGATCGATAAATAATTTTTTAGACAAACTCGGAGGTAATCTGAAATTGTTCCTATGCAAACTGAGACGATAATTAGTCTGGAGCAAATGAAACTCTCTCCACAATGTTCGAAGAAATAAAAAGACGAGTCCAAAGATTTTCAACGAAATTATGAGACCCTAATCGATTAAATAAATAAGTTTGAAAGCAGAATGCTTCGCGTAAATTTCGCAGCGTACAGACAGTAAATTTCGATCCTCCCCGGGAACACAATGGCAACGCGAAGAGGGAGGTTTTCGAGGGTATAGTTGCTGATTCGTGGAAAGCTCGCGTCGTCTAGGAAGCTTGCGACCCACGGAATAACCGGTGCACTCGGTAATTGTATGTTCGAGGCGATGGCGTAAGGGTAAGGAGAAACCGGTGGCCGGTTTCCGAGACACGAGCCGGGAAACTTTGTAGGCGTCGCACAATATCTCCGCGGCTAAACAGCCGCAGCCCTTTATCAATGTTATGGCGGCCGGCCGTGGTTATAAATAATGGCAATTGCGCGAAACTTAGCTTGGCGAGCTAACGGCCCACCGCACCGGCTCCGGGCCATTTCAAACTTGCGGCTTTGAATGCCTTCTGTCGACGATAACACCCGCGCTCCACGATTTACTGGCTTAAGAAAATATCGAAAGAATAATAGCTCATTCGGTGGACGATCAATTCTCGAGGAACTAAATTGCCTAACGCGTTCTACACGTTACTACTACTCGCGATAACGAGAAAATATGCAACGCTCGGTGTAATGTTTTTAACGAACGAATCTTTATCGAACTTAGCGCTAAGAAAAGTATAATACAAATAATAAGTAAGAACAGTAATGCTTACAGTGATACTCACTGGTCTTGGATCGCGGTTCTCTCGGGCCGTCGACGGTTACTTTGATCGCCTTGGTGTAGGTAGCGACCTGCGGCGGCGTGGTGGACACGGTGATCGTCAACGTGAAACTCTTCCCTGAAACAGGACGTAGAGGAAAATGTTACTTAGATTTTTCGTCGGATCACCGTCGATTGAAACGGCGCCGGAAGTTCGCAAACGTGGTTAGCCGGCTGAAACTCGGTGGTAACCGAATTAACCGTCGGTAATGTATCGAGGGCGTCGTTGACGGTGACGGTGGCCAGCCAACGCGACCGAATCATGGGGGTTGACTGCGTTAAGTTATGTTAAAAAGCCTATTAAACGCGTTATCCCGAAAAACAGCCCTCGTTAACTGTATTTTCACGGATTTCGAGGTCGGTACCTTTCAAAGGAAATTCTAACCAAATTTTACCCGCTTTATTCTACGCTTTACGTATCCTTTTTGTGTTTCGATATGCCCGACAATACGAGCGTAGCTTTCGGACAGATCCGTCATCGATGAACGTCGACGATCGACGCAGGAAGTTGCTTCGAAACGAAGAAAGGGATGTTTCGATGAAAGGCTCGTTAAAGAGGGGACAATGTTGCGTGAAAAAAAAACGACGCCACGCAGAACACAGTGGTTGCACGCGCAGAGGTTCACCGCAATTCCACGTACACCCTCTTTCACTCTTTCTCTCGTCCCCATCGTTTCTCACCCCGAGTGGATCGCTGATCGCGTGGCTTTCTCTGTCTCGCCCTTTCTGATACAACGAACGTGTCGAAAAATGAACGGGTGTTGTGTTCGACGCGTTCGGATAATTTGTATCGCCCTGTCGAATCGATTGCCTCTTTTTTCACACTTGCACTTTCAAAACAGGGGTGAAAACCAGAGAAATCGGACACGGTACAACGCGATATTACCAGTTTATGGCTTTTAAAAGCGATTAAACGAAAAATAACAAACGCGTTTATAGTCGCACAAATCACGGACACTACGAGTTTAAAAAAGTTTACCAGCCCTTCAAAATTTCAGCTACAAAAATGAATTGTGGAAAACTTGTATTCTCGAGAAATTTCGAGGCATGAGTTCTAAACGAATCTTAACCTCCTGGAGGTTTACGAGGTTAGAAAGAAAGAAACAAAAGGGAGAACGCACGAAGGGGGCGGGGGAATAATGGCGAGTGTCGAGCGTGGCCACACGGTGGTTCACCACGCGAGCTTCTCGTTTTCCAGTAGGGGATCCCGTCAGTTTATCGCAAGTCACGGCATCCACCATGGTCTAACCTGGCAAACCTTTTCACCTATTGAGGGAGTTGGTGGTTCCACAGTTACCTACCTACACGTAGGTATCACCCTCGGTGCCAGTCGCCGTGGAACCATTAAAAGTCGTCCGAGCAGACCATCCCTTTTCTACCCTCGTGCTTTCCTCGCTTTTCTCCGCGTAATTTTTGCCGAAAGAGACTCGTTCTTCCAATCCTGACATCGTGTCATTTTCAAGTTTAACCCTTTCCTACCGTTTCTTTCGGTTATTTAATTACCGTTTCGTGCTGCCTATCGATGGCCCCGCGACCAGTTAATATTTCAATTCTTGTATAATTACAAACATTTTCGACCGGATGAAAGAGCAGAAATCGAACGCTTTTATTTTTGTAATTTATACACATTATACAAATGATTTGTCGGGAGGAAGAAACGCGACGACAGTTCATCCTGACCATAATCAATTCGTTGTCAGCGCACAATAGCGCATTTGCGATTCGTTTGGGGAAAATTGAAATTAATTAATTGGCTCGACAACGGGCCAGCGACAGTCTACCCCGTGCATAGACCAGTGTGTACACGTGCCGATCCACATTTTCCCAGAGAATCGTATGCTAACGAGCATTATCAGGAAATCGATCTCGATTCACTTCCGGCGTTATCTCTATTTTCAGTCGCACCTGCTGCTAAATCAATTCGTACTCTTAATGTTCCTCCGCCCTGCGCATTGCTCTTTTCATACTCTAGACACCGTAAGATATTTAGAATAACGTAAAGATAGGAGGAACCTGGGTAGAGCCAGAAAGGCAATAAAAAATTCGAGACACTACGATATGTTATTATGCCATTTTTAACGTAATACTATTTGCGTTTCGTCGAATAATTGTAACTTTGACTCGGCACGAAAGGTAGAGCGATATTCGAGAGCGCACGATCCAACATTTTCGCGTGGAAACCACTCAAAAGTGCTCATGGTTCGAGCAAAACCAAGCACGTTAGTCGAGAGCTTTGTAATATCGATGATAAGCTATGGCCTCGTTTCTGCACGTTCATCTGTAATGCCAGCTTCATCGTGGCAAAGTCTACCCCGAAGGTAGTGGATCGTTTCCACCCCCTTCAACCCTAAGCCCTATAACGAGATAGATCATTTAGGCGCTTATAGTTTCAGCCCGTGGCAGACGGGTATCCTTCAACTTTGCTCTCGCGACTAAATCTAAATCTAGCGACGGGATCGCGTTCAACCTCCCGAAATAATTTCTACGCTGATATATCTGCTCTTGCGCGTTAACAACTACGGAAATTATTCCTATAAACGAGGAATTAGCTGGAACACAATGTCGCATTTTCGAAGAAATAAATTACATCGGCCGTATTTAAGAGCGAATCCTTCCGACACGTGCATGCACAGAAATGTTTTCGAGTTCGACAAACGAAAGGATCATTAAGGATTCGCTAGAGTTCGGTTCCCAGAGAATATTCAAGAAGCCCGGGGCGTCGCAGGAATCCTGACGAGAGACACTTCTCTTACGTTCTTCATCCTAGCTTATGTTAATTCCACGCTCGACGAAAACAATTGAGAGCTAATCCCAGACAAATGACTGACGCGCTTCTAGGGGAGGGATCCACCCTTCACCCTCGGATAGAAAATTCAGGTATTTCATGATTTCCGAACGTTCTCCCTCTTGTAACCCTAACTCTCCGTCCTCTTTCAATTTTGTTCGACCCTCTGCGTCGCGACGCATTCGATGGAACGTCCGTGCAAAATTCCTGTTCGAGAACCGGCTTCAAATAAAATTATCGTATGAAACCATACGTTCTCAAGAGCTTTTCTGATCGAAAAGAAATATTTCAGATATCGATATCATGCCGTATTCTTAAGGGGGTGTTCCAGTATGACGCGACTATTTTTAGCGGTTAGTCAAGAATTTTTTTCAATAACTGATTAACACATTTCAGTCCTGAAACTATTCTCGTTTATTTGTCTATGTTTAGGTATATAAAAAATAATTTTTTCAAAGTGGAGTTATGTGCAGTTAGACGGCTGAGATCTTCTACAATGTTAGCCCCTCGAGAAAAGCTACCCAACTCACGAAAAAATGTGCCAAAATAACGCATTCAATATTAAAATTTGCACCACTTTGAAAGCTGTTAATATCTATTCAAACCTGAGGTAGGGGCGATAGCCATATTCATATATTTTAACAATCCTTTCGATTTTGTAACTGCGGACCAACTGGAGGGCAGTAAACATGGTGACCAGTTGGGTAGCTTTTCTCGAGAGGCTAACATTGTAGAGATCTCAGCCGTCTAACTGTACATAACTTCACTTCGAAAAAATGATTTTTCATATACCTAAACATAGACAAATAAACGAGAAAAGTTTCAGGACTGAAATGTGTTAATCAGTTATTGAAAAAAATTCTTAACTAACCGCTAAAAATAGTCGCGTCACACTGGGATACCCCCTTAAGGTCGCGTCATACTGGAATACCCCCTTAATGACAGAATTAAGAAATGAATGCAATAACGATAAGTTTAGCGTCATTTAAAACTAGGTCGCGAGCAAGCTACAAATCTTGCGGAGAGCACGAGTTCGAAAGACGAGGTAAGACAACCGACCTAATAACGTTAATTAAAATCTAACTGAAACCTCAATTAATATCAGCCCTGTTCCGAGGGGCGTCGCCTTCTTCGACCCGTGCCTCGTCCTTTTCTCGGGAACGAGCCCGTTCTCGACGAAGGAAAGTAAAGAGAGGAGGTTGCTAGCTAGAGTTGCGGACAAATAAAACCCATTACCCACTCCAAGACGTCGTCTTCTCCTCGAATCTACTCTCTTACACGGCAACCCCTGTGAAACGTCCAATTTCGACCCCCTCCTACGCGTCGCAACCTACCAACACTTTTCGCGAAGGAACAAGGAAAAACAAGGGTGTCTCGAGACGACCACGACCTACCCTTACTATAGCCGAATTCTTTGACGAACCTTCCCCGACGTCGTTTCACCCCAAGCAGCCTTTTCTTCCACGAGGTTGGTCTGTCAACCTCGAGATCAACGACTTTGCACAGTTTCGTGAATGAAGAAAGGGGAGGAAATGTCGTCGGGTAATTTCGAGTTTGACTCAACCTGTTTGATACTCCGAGTTTCGCGGGACTTTCAGAATTTCAATATGGGCCAACGAAAATGTAGAAGCGTTTGAAAGAGACACGTGATACTTGGCTTTTAAATGGGAGAAGACTCACCTCTTCCGCTTCTTCCGACGAACCTCAAATCGTTGAACTTGGCAACTTGATTCTTCATCAGCGCGGTGGAATTTCTTAACTCGGCACAGCAGTTCTCGTCGTTGCCAGCACGAACGGTCACCAAAGTGCCATCGCCTACCTCGCCAAGGGCTACGACCTTGAACGCTACCGGAAGGGTCTTGTTCGACCTCCAGTGCGCTGGGAGAACGGTGCAGACCAAGTGGGGTGAACCTGTAACACAAATTTTATCCACGTATATTACTTCAAGGTGCAACAATTAATGACACCCGTTTCCTGATTTCCTCATTTCATTTCAAACTTAACTATAATGTATGAACCTACAAAAATTTACTGGAGTATCTGACGACACTTGACAAATATTAATACGATCCCAACAGTTTAACATCAAATGAAGAATTTGCCAAATGAGTCCACAATTTTGGCACGCAAGAAGCGCTATCGATACTTCATTAATTTCTATCGATACACAACTTCTGATTTTCCTTACAAAATGAATCTGCCTGAGACTCGATAAAAAAATGACTACTATCTATAGAAGAAAATGAAATTGAAGGAATTCGCACCTGTTCGGACCAGTTCTCCAGGATGCTCGCTTACGAAATCGCCGAGAGTCCTTTCCGCCAGGATATCGCTGGTCATCTTGGTGTAGGCATCGGTCAGAGGAGAAACGCCCGACTCCGGCGATGCGGCAGCGCCAGGAGTCGAGGCTTCTGTCAACTGCATTCTGCCGCTGGCTTCACCGCTTCCGCTGCCGGAACTCGCTGTTCCACAGCTGGACTCGTTGCTGGACCCCCTCACCGTGCCAGCGTTACTTCCGGATACCGTGCTTCCTGTTTACCAATCTCTTTCCGAACACCTCCTTCTCCCTTGTCCTTAAGAACTAACGGTCCAAGACTTTAAGTCCGATCTCTTCGACTCGACGAATCTTCGAAAGGTTATACTCTTAGCTAATGAAATTTCGGGAATCTTTCTTCCTAAGCATCTTCGCAGCTACGAGAAACGGTCCTCCCCCGAATCCACCTGTAACCGACAAAAAATGGACAGTTGGTCAGAGGGCGCAGAAGGTAACGGATCCGAGAGAACGGAAGAGCGACCTGTCCAACCGGAAGCAGGGTCAACAATTGATTCAGCTAGCCGTTAGGAAGGGTTGGTCCCAGGAGACGGTCCGAATGGCAGGCGACGGCACCCCGAGTTCCGTCGCCGACGCGACCAACCCTTCCGTAGCTTCTAATCCATTTAACGAGGGTTCGCAAGGTCCTTTATCTCGCGAGAGGAGCCATTTAACAAAGTCGGCGGTGGGTCGAAAACGACCGGCTGATCGGGACGGGGTTGAACGGAAAGAGGAACGCGGAAGACGCGGAAACGGCGGAAAAGAGGAGGTTGACAGAGGCGGACAGAAACGATTCGCACACTTTTCAAGCGGGTCGGCCAGTGACGTCACCGTTCATTCAGTAATTTTTGCGCACGTCACCGGGGCTGACACACCGGATCCAGGTGGTGTTCCAGGAGGGGTTGGACCGTTCCGCGCCGTGGTGGGGACGGAAAAAATAGGGGAAAAAGAACGCCCGCCGTAGCCAACCCCCCACACGGATATCCAACCAACCCCTACGCACGTACAACCGCCGCGTGTCAAAGTGCACGTGGTACCGTTACCACGTTGCGTTCCGTCAATGCCAACCGCGTAACGCAGGATCGAAGATTCCCGCGAAGCCAGACGGGATCGGCTTTCAATCGGAAACTCGAAACGTTCGGACACTTGGACACGTACGCTGATCATTCGACCGCGTAAGCGTTTGATTGGAGAGTGCGAACGACGATCGACCAACCGAATTCCTGTCAATTACCATTGATGACGGTCCCCGCTGATGTTCCTCCGATCGAACGTCCTGAGCCGGGATTTCCAAGAGGAACTCCGACGACTTTCGAACGCGACAACGGAACTGGCTCGTCGAAAGAAATTTTAAGGGCTTCGAGAAAGAAGGAACGACACGGCTACGGATAAGATTCTCGCTTAACTTCGCATTCAAATCTCTTACTGAGCGCGAGGCTGTTCGCACTTCCGCCAAAAATCTTCTTCCTCGCTTTGAAAATTTGATCGCGGTTGCTTCGAGATCGATTAAAAGATCAAGATGACTCGCATAGGTTATCTCGACGAAGTTGTCGATTTTCTCGATAAGAATAATTCACAAGATTCTGCGGATCAAGAGGTTCTCGATTTGTCGTTCTCCCTCCGCGCAACTAGTAGGAGGATTTTTAACGACAGGCATAGAATTCCACTGAAAGCACTCACTCGCAGACCGCGTTCACCATTGTAACCGACGGGCTACCGATGCCACTCTTTGCCGCACAAAATCACTCGGATCGAATGTTATTGTTCGGCGCCTCGAAGAGACCAGTTCGAACAAATCCTTTCGTGTCACCGATTCGACGACGCGTCTCGATCGTTTCTTTCACCAAAGTAACACATCGGAGGACACCGCGAAAATCCTCGAGAGTAAGGCTCGCAAGGTCCTTTATCTCGCGAGAGGAGCCATTTAACAAAGTCGGCGGTGGGTCGAAAACGACCGGCTGATCGGGACGGGGTTGAACGGAAAGAGGAACGCGGAAGACGCGGAAACGGCGGAAAAGAGGAGGTTGACAGAGGCGGACAGAAACGATTCGCACACTTTTCAAGCGGGTCGGCCAGTGACGTCACCGTTCATTCAGTAATTTTTGCGCACGTCACCGGGGCTGACACACCGGATCCAGGTGGTGTTCCAGGAGGGGTTGGACCGTTCCGCGCCGTGGTGGGGACGGAAAAAATAGGGGAAAAAGAACGCCCGCCGTAGCCAACCCCCCACACGGATATCCAACCAACCCCTACGCACGTACAACCGCCGCGTGTCAAAGTGCACGTGGTACCGTTACCACGTTGCGTTCCGTCAATGCCAACCGCGTAACGCAGGATCGAAGATTCCCGCGAAGCCAGACGGGATCGGCTTTCAATCGGAAACTCGAAACGTTCGGACACTTGGACACGTACGCTGATCATTCGACCGCGTAAGCGTTTGATTGGAGAGTGCGAACGACGATCGACCAACCGAATTCCTGTCAATTACCATTGATGACGGTCCCCGCTGATGTTCCTCCGATCGAACGTCCTGAGCCGGGATTTCCAAGAGGAACTCCGACGACTTTCGAACGCGACAACGGAACTGGCTCGTCGAAAGAAATTTTAAGGGCTTCGAGAAAGAAGGAACGACACGGCTACGGATAAGATTCTCGCTTAACTTCGCATTCAAATCTCTTACTGAGCGCGAGGCTGTTCGCACTTCCGCCAAAAATCTTCTTCCTCGCTTTGAAAATTTGATCGCGGTTGCTTCGAGATCGATTAAAAGATCAAGATGACTCGCATAGGTTATCTCGACGAAGTTGTCGATTTTCTCGATAAGAATAATTCACAAGATTCTGCGGATCAAGAGGTTCTCGATTTGTCGTTCTCCCTCCGCGCAACTAGTAGGAGGATTTTTAACGACAGGCATAGAATTCCACTGAAAGCACTCACTCGCAGACCGCGTTCACCATTGTAACCGACGGGCTACCGATGCCACTCTTTGCCGCACAAAATCACTCGGATCGAATGTTATTGTTCGGCGCCTCGAAGAGACCAGTTCGAACAAATCCTTTCGTGTCACCGATTCGACGACGCGTCTCGATCGTTTCTTTCACCAAAGTAACACATCGGAGGACACCGCGAAAATCCTCGAGAGTAAGGCGCTCGCGAGAAGCTCGCAACGTAGGTCCCGGAATCTTGCGGATTTACCGAGAGACCGAGAAGAGGTTTCGGTGTTTTGATGGGTCGAGGCAGTCTCTCGAAATATACCCGTTGGGGCCACTAACTATAATTTCGGCGGTTCGTGTGAGGCAACAGCCGTTGACGCACTGGTCCATGCCAACACACGCAGCATCCCTTTCCCCTTTCCTGGTTTCTCTCACACCCCTCTGTCACCCCACTCTTTCTCATCTGCTCCTCTCTCTCCTATCCTCGTCGCCTTTCTCCGTCGTTCACTTTGCCTCTGGGTTCTCTCTCTTTTCGTCCCTCGTTCTCGGCTCGGTTCGCTCCTCTTTCTCGCTCTCCTTCGTTCCTCTTTATCGCTTTATCTCCCACCGGACCGCTAACCCTCGCCTACCCTCTCTCTTTTCCCCCTGTTCGACCCTTTTGCGGTGTGGAGAGCTCGCGTGCGTCTGACGGACCACCCCGTCGCTCCGGGGCGGACCTCGGCTTTCGATCGATTTATCGAACGCGATTCACGCGCAATTTTTTTCTTTTCATTCTTTTTACTCGACTTCTTCTCGGCTCGAAATTCGCGGCTTCGGGGACATCTCGTAACGAGCGCGCCGTTTATGTTTAATTAGTCGCCAGACCAGAACGAAAGTTAATGAGGAGACGACATCGCGTGCGTCATCATTGTTCTCGCGTGTTTGCAGCCCGCCAATTGTTTACGCATCGATATGAACTCCCGGAGCGATTTAATATCGAGTGACGCCGACGATGCGCCGTGTTTCGAACGAGATCGTTCGTGTTTTTTGGCGCCTAATTGGCTGAAAGTGCCAGAGGAACGATTGTTACGCGTTCGTTTCGTCGGAAACCAAACTGTTTCGGAGTACGACGTTAAAATTTTACAAAGGAGAGAAGTACTATGCGATTCTGCAACAGGAAGCATTCTTATGAAATCACTGACATTTACTATAAAGATCGTACACGTCGACAGAAGAGCAGTATCAAAGAAACATGGAGAGGATTCGAACGAGAAGTTCATTGAAAAGCAAACGATGAAAGATCGGCGGATTAACGAGAGTTAGGGGAAGAATTGTATCGTAGATTCAGGAGGAAAGTATCGATCTTTCGAGCAGAAATCGGCGTGTCATCGTACGTGTGTTTGCCTGCCGGCAAGTCCGCGAACGGTCGGCTATCGTCAGGATATATTCGCACAGGAAATGGGTAGTTCGATTGTTTGCACGTTCGTACAAACAGTGCAGCTGCGAGGATGCGCTCGGCGGTTCTCTCTGTTTGATTTTCGAAAGTGAACCTCCCATTGTAACGTATGTCGGCACGGTTGTATACCGGCCAGATCTGTCTGCCGATTTCAATCGAATCGACGAAAGAATCGGAAGAATACTTGCAAGAAACATCCACGAAAAATTCGATTGCCTTTGATCGAGGTTCTTCTCGGCTTTCAGATATCGGCACTGCAATATAACAGTACTTGGAACGCGATTAGACCTCGTATATTTTTGCTAAATAGGGGTACAGAACCCACTCGAACAAAATTAGTATGTATAATTGTACAAAGGGTATTCGCTTTGCTCCTCGTTATACTAACAGCCTACCTTTAGTCCCTATCGCTTGGGACACATTCTATGTATAAAGAATTATTAGTTAAAAATAAACGCATAACAATAGTTCCAAGAATTATTAAAATAATATTGAATAATAAAATTTGAAAAACTGAATGTGTCCGTTTAAGGTCGGTGATATAAACGATTTCGCGAAAATGGAGGGAATAAATTTTCAGGAATGGAGGAATCGTTAGGCCTGGCGCCGCGGTAGCCCTGCAATCTGTCGTTTATTTGAATAACAGGAGGCAACGAGGTCCTGCGCGAATGAATCGCGAGCGAGCAGTTGAAGTAGCGGCGAACGATCGTCGACGAGACGGTGACAAACAGCGATACGCTGGAAACGTGGAAACTGGACGGCCGTCGTCGTATTGACAAACGACCTAACGCCCGTGTGGACCGTTGCGTTCGACGAGATTCGAATTATCTCTGTTCGAGCCTGTCAATGCAAATGCCATACCTACATTCAATTACCGCTCGTCACGCTCCGATCAGCGCGCGAACGGGTAACCGCGGAATATTCCCGCTAGGATTCTTTCCAATTCACCTTAACTTGTTATTCGACAAAATATACGATTTCGAAAAATTTAACAATTATACGGGATGATGTAGAAGAGTAGAAAGAATTTTACAAGAGGACTTGC